GCTGGAGTTCCCTCCCTGTCACCTCTTTTTTTCTTGGTGTCAAAAAAAACTTGTTTGAAGTGACTCATGCTGACAGCAGAGGAAAGAAGCAGCAGGCATAAAAGACTTGTAGTGCTCTGGATTGAGACAAGTACACACTATAGAGGGATATGCTCTGTTCATATTTCCATGTTTGAGTTTACAACCACATTAAGAATATATACAATGAGGAACAGAAGTATTTGAACACCCTGCGATTTTGCAAGTTCTCCCACTTAGAAATCATGGAGGGGTCTGAAATTCACATTGTAGGTGCATTCCCAATCTGAGAGACAGAATATAAAAAAAAATTCAGGAAATCACATTGTATGATTTTTAAAGAATTTATTTGTCTTGCACTGCTGAACATAAGTATTTGAACACCTAAGAAACAGCAAGAATTCTGGCTCTCTGTTAGGAATGGACTGGCCAGCAATGGTGGGACTCACCTGCCTTTTGATCTGCAGTACCAGGGCTGGCCAGCGGGTGCTCCCAGCAATCAGAGACTCAACCTTTCAGCCAGCTAACACCTGGAACTGATGATACTGGTGTATTTAAGGGATGGCCAGACTTGCAGACTCTGCCTTGGTGTTGTGTTTGTCCTGGGCCCTGTATCTGTCCTGCATCCTGTTTCTGTTCCTTTGCTGACTTCTCCTGCTCTGATCCTGGCTTGTGACCCTGACCATCCCTCTGTCTGACCCTCTGTACTACGCTGCTTGCTACCTGTTCTGATCCCTGGCTTGTGACCCGGACCATCCCTCTGCCTGACCCTCTGTACTATGCTGCTTGCTACCTGCTGAACCTGGCCTGTAACCCCGACCATTCTCCGCTTGCTCCCCCTGTACCTACCTGCCCAATTGATATTGACCCGGCCTGCCTGACGACGCTTGCTTGTATATACTGTTTATCTGTGGGTGGTTTGGTTTGGTTTGTTTGCACCGTATTATGTTTTAGTATTGCACTGCGTTTATGTTTGTACTGTTAGTGTTAATAAATTATATTGTTTATATAACATATCTGAGGTCTGCGTTTCCCTGCTTCAGTCACACACCTCTGGTCATACCTGGGAGCCCTGACATTACACCAAGGCCAATCCTGACCAGAAGTGGCTGCACAGGGAAGCCATCTTGGCTTGTTGATGGGAAGGATGGATCTTGATGAGGTTGAGTATTTATATCTGCTAGTGTTTGATGACAGGGAGTATGCTTATCAAACTCTGAAGGAGTATACCCGGGATGAATTGCTAGAATGTATACGGCTCGCTCATGTTCTAGTAGATCAGGGCACAGTGTTCTCTGAGGTGCAGCCATTGATTGAGGTTTGTGCAGAGTTGGTTTCATCTGGTTCCCCCGAATGCAGGGATGAATTTTTGCCACCATTTAGTGCAGACCAGGTAGAGTCCCTGGTGTGGTTATTATTATTAGAGGATGATGTGGGTTACTTTCTGGAGCGTTATTCTGCATGTTCACCACAGACACTGAGAGATTGTATAAACGCAGTGCAGTCATTGACCAGACAGGCTTTGTGTAAGCTCAGCTTTGTTCAACCCATACTGCAGACATGGACAGATTTGTTGCACCCAGCCTCAGTCAGCTTACAAAGACCCAGTCCTGCTTCTAACTCTACTCCTGTATTCCCACCAGCTCCTCCAGTTACAGCCCAGTATACTTGGCTATCTACCGCATGTCAGTACCCTGTTCCCACTCGCTGCACCTATCCTGCCTTTAACCCTGTAAAAAAGCCCTCTGTAGCAACTGCTCCCTCTCCTGTTCCATCCTCCAGTTCTTCTCTGTCTCCAGCTGCTCCATTCGTTTGCAGACCTGCGTTTACTTGCAGTGCTCCAGTAGTTAAAACCAGAAAAAAGCGAAAATTCTTTCCAACCAATACCATCCTGCCAGTATCCAAACCGTGAGCCTGAGCCTGCCTTCCGTGGTTCAGACTGATGCCTGTACTGAAGCCTCTAGCCTGAAGCCTCTACTCGGCCTGAAGCTCTCTCGGCCTGATGCCTCTACTCGGCCTGACTCGGCCAATCTGCTCCTACTCTGGCCTGATGCCTCTACTCGGCCTGATGCCTCTACTCGGCCTGAAGCCTCTACTCGGCCTGAAGCCTCTAATGCCTCTACCCAGCATGATGAACTGATCCAGCCTGACGATCCTATTAGGCCAGTTGACTCGATGCCCGCTGTTGATCCAGATGATCCGGTACCTGATCCGGTGCCCGCTGTCGTGCCAATTGACTCAGAGCCCGCTGTCGTACCTGGTGACTCGGTGCCCACTGCCTTGCCAGATGACGCGGTGCCCGCTGGCAAGCCAAATGACCTGATGCCTGGTGACCTAGTGTCCGCTGTCATACCTGATGACCCGATGCCCGCTGTCGAGCCAGACAATCCGGTACCTGATGACCCGGTGCCCACTGTCGTGCCTGTTGACTCGGAGACCACTGCCTTGCCAGATGACGCGGTGCCTGCTGTCGAGCCAAATGACCTGATGCCTGGTGACCCGATGCCCGCTGTCCAGCCAGACGATTCAATGTCTGCCCCGGTGCCCGCGGTCATGCCAGTTGACTCGGAGCCCACTGCCTTGCCAGATGACGCGGTGCTCGCTGTCGAGCCAAATGACTTGATGCCTGGTGACCCGATGCCCGCTGTCCGGTCAGACGATCCAATGTCTGACCCAGTGCCCGCGGTCATACCAGTTGACTCGGAGCCCACTGCCTTGCCAGATGACGCGGTGCCCGCTGTCGAGCAAAAATGACCTGATGCCTGGTGACCCGATGCCCGCTGTCCAGCCAGACCATCCAATGTCTGACCCAGTGCCTGCGGTCATACCAGTTGACTCGGAGCCCACTGTCGTGCCTGTGGTGTCTCGGTGCCCGCCGCTCCGCCTGGGGGCCCGAGACCTGTTGCTCCGCTTGGGGGTCCAGCGCCCGCCGCTCCGCCTGGGGATCCGGCGCCCGCCGCCCCGCCTGGGGGCCCGAGACCTGTCGCTCCGCCTGAGGGCCCGAGACCTGTCGCTCCGCCTGGGGGTCCGGCACCTGTCGCTCCGCCTGAGGGCCCGAGACCTGTCGCTCCGCCTGAGGGCCCGAGACCTGTCGCTCCGCCTGGGGGGGTCCGGCACCTGCCACTCCGCCTGAGGGCCCGAGACCTGTCGCTCCATCTGGGGGTCCGGCGCCCGCCGCTCCGCCTGAGGGCCCGAGACCTGTCGCTCCTCCTGGGGGTCCGGCGCCCGCCGCTCCGCCTGAGGCCCGAGACCTGTCGCTCCGCCTGGGGGGTCCGGCGCCCGCCGCTCCGCCTGAGGGCCCGAGACCTGTCGCTCCACCTGGGGGTCCGGCGCCCGCCGCTCCGCCTGAGGGCCCGAGACCTGTCGCTCCACCTGGGGGTCCGGCGCCCGCCGCTCCGCCTGAGGGCCCGAGACCTGTCGCTCTCCTGGGGGTCCGGCGCCCGCCGCTCCGCCTGAGGGCCCCGAGACCTGTCGCTCCGCCTGGGGGTCCGGCGCCCGCCGCTCCGCCTGAGGGCCCGAGACCTGTCGCTCCGCCTGGGGGTCCGGCGCCCGCCGCTCCGCCTGGGGGCATGATGACCTGCCTGTCGCCCCGCCTGGGGGCACGATGCCTGTCGCCCCGCCTGGGGGCACGATGCCCGCTGTCCAGCCAGACGATTCAATGTCTGCCCCGGTGCCCGCGGTCATGCCAGTTGACTCGGAGCCCACTGCCTTGCCAGATGACCGGTGCTCGCTGTCGAGCCAAATGACTTGATGCCTGGTGACCCGATGCCGCTGTCCAGTCAGACGATCCAATGTCTGACCCAGTGCCGCGGTCATACCAGTTGACTCGGGCCCACTGCCTTGCCAGATGACGCTGTGCCCGCGGTCGAGCCAAATGACCTGATGCCTGGTGACCCGATGCCCGCTGTCCAGCAAGACGATTCAATGTCTGCCCCGGTTGCCTGCGGTCATGCCAGTTGACTCGGAGCCCACTGCCTTGCCAGATGACGCGGTGCTCGCTGTCGAGCCAAATGACTTGATGCCTGGTGACCCCGATGCCCGCTGTCCGGTCAGACGATCCAATGTCTGACCCAGTGCCCGCGGTCATACCAGTTGACTCGGAGCCCCACTGCCTTGCCAGATGACGCGGTGCCCGCTGTCGAGCCAAATGACCTGATGCCTGGTGACCCGATGCCCGCTGTCCAGCCATGGGACCATCCAATGACCTGTGACCAGTGCCTGCGGTCATACCAGTTGACTCGGAGCCCACTGTCGTCGCCTGGTGTCTCGGTGCCCGCCGCTCCTGCCTCCGACCGCCGCTCCGCCTGGGGGCCCGAGACCTGTTGCTCCGCTTGGGGGTCCAGCGCCCCGCCGCTCCGCCTGGGGATCCGGCGCCCGCCGCCCGCCTGGGGGCCTGAGACCTGTCGCTCCGCCTGGGGGCCCGAGACCTGTCGCTCCGCCTGAGGGCCCGAGACCTGTCGCTCCGCCTGGGGGTCCGGCACCTGCCACTCCGCCTGAGGGGCCCGAGACCTGTCGCTCCATCTGGGGGTCCGAGACCTGTCGCTCCATCTGGGGGTCCGGCGCCCGCCCGCGCCGCCGCCTGAGGGCCCGAGACCTGACGCTCCTCCTGGGGGTCCGGCGCCCGCCGCTCCGCCTGAGGGCCCGAGACCTGTCGCTCCGCCTGGGGGTCCGGCGCCCGCCGCTCCGCCTGAGGGCCCGAGACCTGTCGCTCCGCCTGGGGGTCCGGCGCCCGCCGCTCCGCCTGAGGGCCCGAGACCTGTCGCTCCACCTGGGGGGTCCGCCCGCCCCGCTCCGCTGAGGGCCCGAGACCTGTCGCTCCACCTGGGGGTCCGGCGCCCGCCGCTCCGCCTGAGGGCCCGAGACCTGTCGCTCCTCCTGGGGGTCCCGCGCCCGCCGCTCCGCCTGAGGGCCCGAGACCTGTCGCTCCGCCTGGGGGTCCGGCGCCCGCCGCTCCGCCTGAGGGCCCGAGACCTGTCGCTCCGCCTGGGGGTCCGGCGCCCGCCGCTCCGCCTGGGGGCACGATGCCTGTCGCCCCGCCTGGGGGCACGATGCCTGTCGCCCCGCCTGGGGGCACGATGCCTGTCGCCCCGCCTGGGGGGCCCGATGCCTGTCGCCCCTCCTGGGGGCCCGATGCCTGTCGCCCCGCCTGGGGGCCCGATGCCTGTCGCCCCTCCTGGGGGCCCGGTGCCTGTCGCCCCTCCCGGGGGCCCGGTGCCTGCCGCTCCGCCCGGGGCCCGGTGCCTGCCGCTCCGCCCGGGGGCCCGGTGCCTGCCGCTCCGCCGGGGGCCCGGTGCCTGCCGCTCCGCCCGGTGGCCGCTGCCTGCTGCTTCGCCTGGTAATCCGATGTGCCTCTGCCCGGAGTCCTGCCCGATGTGCCTCTGCCGGAGTCCTGCCCGATGTGCCTCTGCCCGGAGTCCTGCCCGATGTGCCTCTGCCTGGAGTCCTGCCGATGTGCCTCTGCCCGGTGTGCCGCTGCCCGGAGTCCAGCCCGGGTGTGCCGCTGCCCGGAGTCCTGCCCGGTGTGCCAGTCTTTGATATCCCGCCAGTTGCCAGACCCGGGCGGTGGAACATTTTGCCCAGCTAGGACTGTTTGGAGCGTCCTGAGGCCGCTCCTTGAGGGGGGGGGGGTACTGTTAGGAATGGACTGGCCAGCAATGGTGGGACTCACCTGCCTTTTGATCTGCAGTACCAGGGCTGGCCAGCGGGTGCTCCCAGCAATCAGAGACTCAACCTTTCAGCCAGCTAACACCTGGAACTGATGATACTGGTGTATTTAAGGGATGGCCAGACTTGCAGACTCTGCCTTGGTGTTGTGTTTGTCCTGGGCCCTGTATCTGTCCTGCATCCTGTTTCTGTTCCTTTGCTGACTTCTCCTGCTCTGATCCTGGCTTGTGACCCTGACCATCCCTCTGTCTGACCCTCTGTACTACGCGCTTGCTTGCTACCTGTTCTGATCCCTGGCTTGTGACCCGGACCATCCCTCTGCCTGACCCTCTGTACTATGCTGCTTGCTACCTGCTGCTGAACCTGGCCTGTGACCCCGACCATTCTCCGCTTGCTCCCCTGTACCTACCTGCCCAATTGATATTGACCCGGCCTGCCTGACGACGCTTGCTTGTATATACTGTTATCTGTGGGTGGTTTGGTTTGTTTGCACCGTATTATGTTTTAGTATTGCACTGCGTTTATGTTTGTACTGTTAGTGTTAATAAATTATATTGTTTATAACATATCTGAGGTCTGCGTTTCCCTGCTTCAGTCACACACCTCTGGTCATACCTGGGAGCCCTGACACTCTCAAAGACCTGTTACTGTGACTTTAAAAAGTCCACCTCTACTCCACTCATTAATCTAACTTAGTAGCACCTGTCTGAGCTCTTTTAAAGCCACCTGTCCACCCCACAGTCAGTCAGACACCAACTACTACCATGGGCAAGACCAAAGAGCTGTCAAAAGACACCAGAGACAAAATTGTGGACCTCCACAAGGCTGGAAAGGGCTACGGGGCAATTGCCAAGCAGCTTGGTGAAAATAGATCAACTGTTGGAGCAGTTGTTAGAAAATGGAAGAGGCTAAAGACGACTGTCAGTCTCCCTCGGACTGGGGCTCCATGCAAGATCTCACCTCGTGGGGTATCACTGATGATAAGAAAGGTGAGGAATCAGCCCAGAACTACAAGGGAGGAGCTGGTCAATGACATGAAGAGTGCTGGGACCACAGTTTCAAAGGTCACTGTCGGTAAAACACTACGCCGTCATGGTTTCAAATCATGCATTGCATGGACGGTTCCCCTGCTCAAGTCATCACATGTCCAGGCCCATCTGAAGTTTGCCAATGACCATCTGGATGATCCAGAGGAGGCGTGGGAGAAAGTCATGTGGTCAGATGAGACCAAAGTAGAACTTTTTGATCTAAACTTCACTCGTCGTGTTTGGAGGAAAAAGAAGGATGAGTTGCATCCCAAGAACACCATCCCTACTGTGAAGCATGGGGGTGGTAACATCATGCTTTTCTGCGAAGGGGACAGGACGACTGCACTGTATTAAGGAGAGGATGAATGGGGCCATTTATTGTGAGATTTTCAGCAACAACCTCCTTCCCTCAGTCAGAGCATTGAAGATGGGTCGTGGCTGGGTCTTCCAACATGACAACGACCCGAAGCACACAGCCAGGATAACCAAGGAGTGGCTCCGTAAGAAGCATATCAAGGTTCTGGAGTGGCCTAGCCAGTCTCCAGACCTAAATCCAATAGAACATCTTTGGATGGAGCTGAAACTCCGTGTTGCTCAGCGACAGCCCCGAAACCTGACAGATCTAGAGGAGATCTGTGTGGAGGAGTGGGCCAAAATCCTGTTGCAGTGTGTGCAAACCTGGGTCAAGAACTACAGGAAACCTTTGACCTCTGTAATTGCAAACAAAGGCTTCTGTACCAAATATTAACACTGATTTTCTCAGGTGTTCAAATACTTATGTTCAGCAGTGCAAGACAAATAAATTCTTTAAAAATCATACAATGTGATTTCCTGAATTGTTTTTTAAATTCTGTCTCTCAGAGTGGGAATGTACCTACAATGTGAATTTCAGACCCCTCCATGATTTCTAAGTGGGAGAACTTGCAAAATCGCAGGGTGTTCAAATACTTCTGTTCCTCACTGTACTTGAATAGAAGTTTTTTTTATGGAATTTAGTGTCTCTTTAATGTAGATAGGTTTGTCATTACGTGCTCATGTTTTATAAACCTTTGTGTGTATAGTTTGTAATTATATATACAAGTAGACAGTCATTGCCAGTGTCATAATTGTTCCCATTTGTTGAAATCAAGGAAATACAGTTATAACCATAAGGCAAGCCATACACGAAGCAAATCCCATGGTTGCTTGAAGAAATTTGCTTGACTCTCCCATCAACACAGATAGTGATTCCCTCCCACCGAGCCATTGTATTCTCTCCGGTGGGGGAGCAAGACAAGCAGTCCCCACCTGAGAAGATAGTGACTATGGACAGTGATAGGTATAGCCATTAGTGATAATCATATGTGATATCCAGCAGGCTGATTATACTCAAGTTGATCGATCTATCAACTTGGGTACATTCAGCCTGCCCATACATGGTTCGAATCTCGGCCAGTCCCTGCTGAACTGGCCGAGATTCAAACCAAATGTATTACCTACTTATGCCAGCATATAAACAGTTATTTAACATACAACATTTTTTGTCTTATCTGTATGAACAATATCGAACAGATAAAGACAACAATGACCCTCGGTGAAAAAAAGTGTTAAATGGAAAAAAAAAAAAAAATATATATATTTGTTAACATGTTGCAGAACAGAATACTTTTATTAGATTTTTTCTTTTAATATATAATCATCAACTTTTGTAGGTGGTCTCCCACACATGAGGTATGATTGCACGGCTTGACAATTGCTTTAAAGTGTTGACCTCATTCTAAAAACACTAGTTGCTGACTGTCATGCTGATGCTATGCTGAGCTGAAATATGACAGATTGGAGCCCAAGGCAAGGTAGAAGCTTTTGCCCCATCCCCAAATTCCCCCACCAATACATTTGATAAGGATTGCAATAAGCACAGAGAATCTGCCCCATCGGTATTGCCTGCCCTGCATCCTACCTTTAGAAATGATAAATGAGGGAATGGCTGCTTCCATCAGAACCTAATCAGAGTTTTTGGCTTTAGATCGAAGTTCCTTTAAGAAATATGCAATCATGGAATCATTTCACAAGGGATTATGAAAGCTATTTACACTTTCTGGTACAATTACAGTACATGTCAGCCGTACAAATCCCTTTGCCTAGGAAAACACAATGAATGCTTCAGTTTCAACAGCACACCAATGAAAGGTGTTATTTACACACTGCCTACGCCTCATGCACAAAACACGCTACATGATGCTGGAATTTCTTTCATTGTAATGATACCTTAAGTGTTGCTTCATTTTCCAAACAGCTGACTGTCATACTGATGTCAAGATTCTGGAGCTTGTGTTCACCTCCATGAAGGTATTCCAGCAGGCCTGAGAGATGGGAAATCTTACTTTTTTTAAGTCACTAATGTTATTT